GATAAAGTACTCAATATCAGAGATAGAGCGTATGTAAATATAAAAAGTGAACATTGAAGTCAACATTTCATGTTTCATGCTAGACGCAGGCCTGACGTTTGCGTCTAGCATAAAACAGCCTGTCGCCTCTGAGTGTTAACTTCAATATTCACTTTTATATATATATATATATATATATATATATATATATATATATATATATATATATATAAATTCTCCCATTCCTTTGGGTTTTTTTTTGGTTGAAGATAAGCCTAAGAATAAAACTTATATAAATTTAGATTGGGTCCCCTAAAGCGGTTGGATAATTATACTGCATCGCCTCCCGGCAACTCCTGCAGTTGCGCACGTACCAAGCTGTATTATTGGTTTGCCGTTGTCTTTCGACTCTACCGGCCGCGAGGACGAGCATAACGGATGGGAAGGCCAAGACCTCCATCATCCTGAAACGGGCCTGTGGCACTTTCAGTCTGCGCCATCGTTTTCCGAGACGGACGAATGCTAGATACGCACACAAGAAGATGGATCAATAAGTCCGTGACCTTACACATATTTATTAACTGAATTTTGCTTTGAAAATTTTACTTTGATTAATATTCATTATTCAATTAAGTGCATTAACAAAGAAGGAGATTATGTTAAAAACAATTATTTCTTGTATAAAATAATTTTTGTGTCAGTACTGTGATTGATTACTGATGTACCTACATATGTTTATGCACATACATGACGGAACCTCCAGGAATTACTCCGTCCCCTCGTCAGGGGAAATATATATATATATATATATATATATATATATATATAATACAAGCTCTGAAAGACAGGCGTCAGAGTAATTTGACTCCTTCCACTTGGTGCAATAGAGAAAGTGCTAACGTAGAGATCGAATCGCCGGAAGTAGGCCTATCGAAAATCGGAAACACAGCTCACATCTCGCACCGAGTAACGGGAACACAGGAAAGGAAGTGGGATACTCTAATCCATTATCTACTTGACACCCACGGATACCGGATGTAAGACACAGTCGATTTAACGTGGGGTAAGTGCAAAAATTCCCCAGTTCCCGCGACTACTGTCACATTGACATTGATATCAACCAAAACCCCTATTTTAGTGCAATGAGGGAGGTGCTGCCGCAGGTTGTGAAACTGTGGAACTAGACATCTCTCATTACAGAAAAACGAACTGTACGAAGATAGAAACATAGATATGATATTTACCCTAAGCAAGAGCGTCCTGGGTATGACGATAAACTACATCCGGCACGTCTCGGATGAGACGATAAACAACATCCAACAGAAAAGCCCCTGATCGGGAGGGTTTTGAGAAGCGTGGAACCGCCTCTTAATTGCTGGTGTTCCGAGGTTCAACTTGACCTTGGGTGGTAGCATCTATCAGGGTCCCAGCCAGGGGAAATAGTTAACCTCCAAACTGGGACGAAAACGCCATGAAAGTGTAAAAATAGGTTTTAATACCAGTAACACATTCTTTTTAGAAAATATTACCAGCAATAAAAATCTTGTCGGCATTAAATAACCCATTGAGGTTGATATACCGTAAAACAAAACAAGCCAAGTCAAGCCTAAACAAGAGCCAAGACCCACTCAAGGTAGAGAGTTACCTGCCTCCGGGTAGAGAGGAAGCCAAACGTGGCTATGCTAAACGGGCAGTGTTTCGACTGGGAAGATAGACAGCTGCTCGACCCCGTGTATGCGGAGTCTATTGGAATTTTTGCCCGAGCGTACGCGCTTGGAAGACCTCACGTTAAAAACCGGCCCTGCGCCACATCCCGCCTTGTGGAGAGGTCACAGGTAAATACCGAGGTATACAATAAGAGGCACAGTTCATGAGGAGATGTGGGGAAGATAACGGTTAACCCTAGACTTGAACAGGTTAAGATTCTAGTGACCGTGGAAACATCCTCTTGGGAGTCAGGAAAAAGCTGGTTGTAATTTTGTGTAATGAAGGAGGTGCAATCGCTGGAGTGAAATCCACTTGACAAGGTTTACTTCATAACTTTTAGAAGAGGAGAGAACATATATTACACTCTGATTCCAGCTCGAAACTGCTCGGTATTTTCCCACCTCTCTATGGTGACACGCGGTCGAATTAACATATACCCATACATGTACATAGAGGCCAGAGACAAAAAATTGCTCAGTCCCCGTGGCTACTGTTACACTGGGTTTGGTATTCACCAATCCTTCCTCCTTAGTTCATTAGGATTGTCGTGGCCGAGTGGTATATATATATATATATATATATATATATATATATATATATATATATATATATATATATAGTAGTTAGAACGTTCGCATTCTGACCGTGAGACCCGGGTTCGAATACAACTATCTAACCTCGTCCCTTACATATAGCTGTCTCGATAAAATAGGCGCAATCTGATGTCGGTTGTACGCTGTAACAAGTCAATTTCTGAACTCGTTAATTATATTATTTTAAAAGGAGGTAAATATTTATATATCTATATAAATAGATTGTATTATTAAATTATAGAGTAGTAACTCTGATGGGAGTAGTCAGAGGTGGGCACCATAATTGGGTTGTTCTTGCGGCATTAATTCACCTGCGTATTTGTGTACGTGTTTACATGTTTGTGTGTGTATGTGTGTGTGTGTATGTGTGTGTGTGTATGTGTGTGTGGATTTCCTTTGGATTTTACAGTAGCTTAGCATATTATGTTGGTTTGTAGGTAGATCCCATTAAGTGGGCATTTGTATTTTATTCTACAGTTACAGGAGTGGAGTTGTGAGTTTTTGCGGTGTACTGATGATCTTGTGTTCATTTTGTAACATATTTCCGGTGCAACCATAGTTAAGTTTTTCAGTATTTGATTTGTTGAAATATTTGTCGACGAGCTTTATGAATAGTTTCTCTATATTTGCTTTTACATTTTACGCTTACACTTCGATTTCAACATATAAAGGTACGACATTTCAGTTTTAGAACAGAAACGCTGGACTACTCGCACAGATGATTTAATTAGAGTAACGAATGCTTAATCACAGTTTTCGGAAGAAGTGACAGCAATGAAACAATGCTCAGTGTGTTACAGGATTGAATTCAAAGTTTTCCTTCGGGTCTGGTTTCATCCAAAACAAGAAAGCCTAGTCTGCCTTTTTATTCAAACAACAGTCCGGAAAAGACTACTGAATTGTTACGAAACATCAGTCCTCCTATATGACAGTGAATGTTGGACAATCTCCTCGCAGATGAAGAGATCTGAAGCAACAGAAATGTGATTCTACAGAAAGATGCTGAGAATACCATAGATTGAAAATGTGAGCAACGACAAAGGTTTAGAGAAAGCAAAAACAAAATGAGGCTTATATTTAACATCGGGAACAGAGAGTTGTAATTTCGAAGGGTTATATAAAAGAAAGAGGGCTTCGAAAATTTGATACTCACAGGATAAATTGAAGGTAAGGAGGACAGATGAAAAAGACGCGTAGCCTTCCTAGAGAGTTTGGGTAGATAGATGGCGGAACAAGGTTTAGGGGAGATAAAAAAAAAAATAAAATTTATTGAGAGTTACAAAGACCACGGAAATGTGGAGAGCCGTGGTCGCCAACGTCCTGATTCACGTACAATCATCAATCATTAATTTTAAGCAATATCGATCCTTATTAATACCTAGACGGGTTACCGCTTGGGTAAAGCCGGGTTCATTATATTTCCATACGCGAAAATAACCTTTGGAATTGCATGAATCTTACTCTTCTCCCCCAGCTATGGGTTAATTAGCAGGACTTTTATCAGTAAATCATTATTGTCTCCAAAAATTTCTTATAATCTAAACATATTTTCTGGCTTTGAATAACGTACAAAGGGTTGATAATCCGTAAAAACAAGTCAATCAATCAGTCTGTCTGTCTGTCTCTGTGTGTGTGTCTCTCTCTCTCTATGTATGTATAAATATATATATATATATATATATATATATATATATAAACAAAAAGAATATGTATCTTAGGCTAAGATAATTTTTCCTTTTGTCTTTATTTATATTGTTTTTTTACAGATATATTCTTAATTAAATCACACACACATATATATATATAAGCAGCTGTTATATATATATAATTTAAAATGTTCTATATTTATAAAGGAAGAGGGCTCAGTATCAGAGATAGAGCATTTATGCATCCACTGAGGACATAGGAATCAATGCTACATGGTGACTGTTAATTCCATGTCTCGATGTAACCTTCCCCTTGTCTGAAGATTGCATTGAGCTGTGAAATTGACAGTCACCATGCAGTGTTGCTTCCTATGTTTACCCGCTCTTTCTCTTTGTTATCTCTCTCCCTCTTAATGTACATATAAATACACACACACACACACACATATATATATATGAAGAAATATAGTCTTAAGATGTGCTATATTTATGGGATAACGTGTTCAATATCAGAGATAGAGCGTGTGTAAATATAAAAGTGAAAATAGAAGTCAACACTTAGAGGCGACAGTCTGTTTCATGCTAGATGCAATCGTGGCCTGACTTATATATATATATATATATATATATATATATATATATATATATATATATATATATGTAGTTATATATCTCATGAACCTGAAGCCAAGAAAATTTTCTAAACATCGGAAAAATATATCAAAATAATTAAGAAGGAACTTTCGTTGATATTTAATCAATATATGTGTGTGTGTATGTGCGTATGTATATATATATAAATATATGTGTGTGTTTATGTGTGTGTATGTGTATATATATAGATATATGCGTGTGCATATGTATATATATTTGTGCATGCGCGTATAATGTATATGTTTATGAGCGTGTGTATATATATGCATAACTATATATATATGTGTGTGTGTGTATGTGTGTGTGTGTATGTGTGTGTGTTAATATGGATATGGCAATAAGAAAACAACACACAATGAGGTCGAACTCACTTTTCTAACAAGAATCTGACTGATCTACTAGACGTCAATATACAGTTATTCTAAAGAGAGAGGGGGGAGAGAGGGGGGAGAAATATAGACTGAATCCTAGAAAAACAGATAAAGAGAGAAATAGAGAGAATGCGTCTTAGAGAAAATGATAAATAAAGAGAGAGAAATAGAAAAGGATTGAGTCCTAGAGAGAGAGAGAGAGAGAGAGAGAGAGAGAAGAGCGTGATAAAGGATAGAGGGCTGGTTTGTCCTGGAGAAACAGATAGATAGATAGAGAGAGAAAGAGAGAGAGAGAGAGAGAGAGAGAGAGAGAGAGAGAGAAATATAGAGTGAGAGTGAATCATAGACAAACAGATAAAGAGAGAGAGATAGAGAAAGAGTGAGATAGAGAGAGACAAGATTGGTAAACAGATGTTGGCTGTAATAAAAACAATACCGCCCCACAAAAAAAAAAAAAAAAAATTCGACAGAAATTGTATATAGCTGGAACTCAATTTATTTCTATCGACTCTATGTGCGGACCAGGCAGTGTACATGAGCATACGTACGTTTACATACATACGTACACTCACATACATACGTACACGTGCGTAATGGTTGGGTCGGTCGAATGGTTTACCATGAAACAGGAACTGTTTTTTTTTTTTATATCCCCGAATTAGAATAAATCGAAACTGGCGACTTTACATCATTGTGTAATAATAATGCACTGAATAAACCTTGACGTCAAACTTTCGTTGCCCGCCACCTTCGTTCTGAATACCGTCGTCACTCATAAACTTGATTCTGACCGATATTGGCGTCAACTGCTGCATCTAAATTCCTGTTGATGCCATCGACTACATTATTACTACTAGCCTCGGGGGACTACGGAATCTACTAGTGGGCCGGGGGGGGGTAGCTAATCCCTGTTGTAGACGCTTGCTCAGGGGCGTCTTTAACACCCGCTCAGCTAACCTATGTTGAGCAGACCTTAGTTACAGTTTCGGGGGAGGACGTGAACAGTCTCAGTTTAGATATCGACGGTTTACGTACAGTTTTATCTACACGATTCCACTCACAAGGCTTGGTTTCCTAAGCTTAGTAAATACATCAATCTGCACACACACACACACACACACACACACACACACACACACACACACACACACACACACATATATATATATATATATATATATATATATATATATATATATATAGATAGATAGATAGATAGATAGATAATATTAGGGATAAATATATATATATAAATTTCCAAGAGGATAGAATCCAGGTAGAGCTCAATGTCCAGGACAGAGCAAGAATATAACATAACAGTGCCTCCCCTTGGGATCGTTTTGTTGGTCGAGTGTTTAGAACATTAGCTTTTCCACCATGAAATTCTGGTTCGAATTACGAATATTACTATTCAATTTCACCCTCCTCCCGCTCCCCCTCCTACTACTACTAATGTTACCACTACTACTACTGTTTCAACCACAAGGCTGAAAAATGCGTATTTCTCATCAGCGTGAGGGGCCAGTGTTCGAACCTTGATTAGTCCTGGGTATGACGATAAACTACATCCGGCAGCGAGGCCTCTGAACTTTCATGGCATTAATCCATATAATATCCTACAATTTCTTTAAGAAATCAAACTGTATTCCAAACAAAACAACATAAAACACACATCTCACCGCCTCTAGTAATAATGCCCGCACAAACATTTTTATGTACAAAAGCAGAGTATCATCTACCATGTATTCAATTGTGGAAGAAGAATAACATATATCATATTTTTATTACTTCAAAAGTCCCAAGGAAATTAGATTTCGGCATTAAATGATCCATAAGTAGTTGATATGACGTTAAACAAACAAATAAAATAAAATCGAACCTACTTAAAAAAACAAAAAAACAAAACATAAATTCAAATGCTGATTGTCTCGGGCAACGGGAAGGTAGTCCATTTTTGGAGATTTATATATTTCTACCAGGCCTAATATCGTACTAACTTGTAAACAGCAGTGCTATTGACACTCACTACAGCGTAATGGTTAGAAAGTGGATCTCGCAGACCATTATTTGATTCTCAACGGTGTTGATCTTTACACTTAGAGTAAGCTGCAGTGGATAACAAACTTTTTTCTCTGGGCCGCATTTTCGGAATAAAATTTACTCGCGCCTCATCAATGGGAAGACCCAGTGAAAAGGCGCAAGCAGCCCTAAGGCAAAGAAGGTCCAGAGAGCGGTTTAAAGGGAGATAACCGCAGATTCGAAGACAGAACATTATCATTGATAACTCTCTTCTCCAATTTACAGAGCCTAGTTACTATATTTTCAATACATGATATAAAGCAAAAGTATCATAATACTAAAATCGGTCAATAATTATTTATAACTATTTATACTGGAACTCATGCATACAATTACAAGTAATCCATAAGAATATTTTAAATTTTGAAATCCTATTTATTTTTGGCATACGAAATTTTGGAACTGTTTCTAAATCTTTGATTTTCTTTTAATCATTCCGCCTCACCTGCTATCTTCTTCCGCATCACCTGCTATCAGATTCGGAACCATTGAGCTAAAGGATAAAAATTCATTTGTTTCTTTCATTCACGCTGTTTCAAATGTGGTCCATTTTAGTGGATCCATCAAATATTTAGCAAAATATGTTTTATCCCTTATCGTCAATTTCTATATTTCCTTTCATGGCTCTTCATTCTTTCAAGTTTTTTTTTGTTTTTTTTTCTTCAAAGAACATTTTTTTAAAATTTCTTTAAGGCAAGGGCAACCAAGGGTCGAGTTTCAAAAAATATCAAATTTCCATAAGTTCCTCTAGTGTCTTGGAGACGTCTCCAAGGATGTCAGTTATTATGAAAACGAAACTGCCCCATCTGTTTTACAACTCGTTTAAGTTACCGGGAAAGGTCCTGGTACTTTTTCACGTTTAAAACGTTATAACTTCGCATTGGCATAATTTTCGCGTTTTTCCCTGTCAATTGATATTGAAATTCAACGGCAAAATTCACTATATATATATATATATATATATATATATATATATATATATATATATATATATATATATATGTGTGTGTGTGTGTGTGTCTGTTTATCTATCTAAATGTCTCTACGACATTATTGTAAATTTCTAAGTATATAATTCGTAATGCCCCAAATTATCGATTATTTATTTATTTATTTAACTAAGTTGGTAAAGTGTCAATTCAATATATTTTTGATTTTTGGCAAAAATATCCTACGAATTATTTCAACTTCTCTCCCGATACCAAAAAAGCCTGATGGGAAAAATCAGTTTAGCCACCGATGACCCTATAATGCGACTGGTACTATTGGATGACAAAATAACAACAGTTATCATAGAATTACCAGCCTATCACACACACACACACACACACACACATATATATATATATATATATATATACACACACAGATTGACCACTAATATTATATATACATATATATATATATATATATATATATATATATATATATATATATATATATATATCAAATTATTTCAACTGAACAAAACCGCTAAATTACTAACAGAGATGATTTGGTTATAATGGTTAAGTATTGTGAAGAACCAGCAACACTTTTCGAAAGAACTGTGAAATGGTGCACGGTGTGATACGAATTTCCAAAATAGGCTTGAATTCAGAGTATTCCTTCTCCTAGGCTGGACTCCACTCAAGGTATAACTGGAAAAAATGGATTCCCATTTTTTACAAACGGAACAAAATCGACCATAATTTGAAGTCGGTTCGGTGATGTCACTTTCTGCAGAGATAAACATCTCACTCCCTCACTCACCATTTTGTCTCAGCCTGTAAACTAAGCTTAGTAAATACATAAGTCTGTACACACACACACACACACACACACACACACACACATATATATATATATATATATAGATAGATAGATAGATAGATAGATAGATAGATAGATAATATTAGTGATAAATATCTATATGAATTTCCAGGTAGAGCACAATGTCCAGGACAAATCAAGAATATAATATGAAAGGCTCAAACACTAATATTCCATGGTCATAATTTATTACATTGGAATCGTAATCACGATCCAATTCATCGGCCTTTATCCACTGTGCCATGTGTCCTTAAGGACAGTGGATAAAAGCGTTGGTTAGGTCCAGTGACAGGACCTAAAGAGTGTGAGTTCAATACCCAGCTAAGGCAGTGGAGAACTTGGAGAGGGGAATTAACTGGAGATAGCTGATAACTGACATCCATTAAACATGGCACGTGGAACTAGAACAGTCTACCCCAGTGAGCGAAATAAAGGGTTCAGTTCGACATTCCAACCACCTGAAGAAGGCCGGAGCGTACAACGGCCGAAACGTTGTAATAAATATGGCGACAAAGATGTGGACAATAGTCCGAATAATATAAATAGTGTACATAATAACTCATTTCAGAAATATAGACAGATAATGATATATATATATATATATATATATATATATATATATATATATATATATATATATGTGTGTGTGTGTGTGTGTGTTTACCCATAGCTGGGGGGAGTAAAGGGGCTTCATACTTTTCCCAAGTGTATTAGCACGTAAGTGAATGTAATGGATTCGACTGGAATTCGAATAAAAAGACAGATTGGGTTCTATAGCCTTGGATGGCAACTGGTCTAGGAGAAGAACAACTAAGAATTCAAAATCTGTGGAGGGTCGTTTGGGTACTTTATGGCACACGGTGCGCCAGGTCTCTGTGTTCGGATCTTCATAAAGTATGGTTGGTTCTGGACAAAACCCTCGCCAGTGTAATCATGTCATATATGGGGGCGTCTGGCTGTCGGTTCCAATGAACTGAGTTCCCTGACTCTCATACGTCAAATAGGATCAACGACGGGAGACTCCACGATATATATATATATATATATATATATATATATATATATATATATATATATATATATATATATATAGTCTTAAGGTGTGCTATATTTATGGAATAAAGTGCTCAATATTAGAGATAGAGCGTGTGTAAATATAAAAGTGAACATAGAAGTCAACACTTAGAGGCGACAGGCTGTTTCATGCTTGATGCAATCATCAGGGCCTGACGATTGCATATAGCATGAAACTGACTGTCGCCTCTATGTTGACTTCTATGTTCACTTTATATATATATATATATATATATATATATATATATATATATATATATATATATATATATATACGTGTGTGTATGTTAATACATTAAAGTGTAATAGGAGGATAACTCTCATTTCCAAACCAGGAGTGGAATCCCCTCCTATTTCAGCTATGAGTTAAAACAAAATAGGGTACTGGATTCTAGTAAGGGAGATTCGCACAACTAAAAAAAAGGGTCCCGGTAGAAACCTCATCCCAACCCGAAGACCAAATGTGGCAAGTATGGCACTACCATTAGTTAAAACCACGATGTCTCTGACATCTATGGGAAAAGATGCGGGAATGCTTGCTCCTGCAAGAGCGGGAAAAGTCTGATGATGGTACCATAATGTCTTTGTCTATTCTCTGTTTATCATATACAAAAAGAATTCGATCGAGTGAGAGACATACTGGGTGTCCATAAAGTTCATGTGCACTTAAAAAAAATTATAACTTTATTTGTATTTGCGATAGAAATAATCTATAAAAATGTTATAAAGTTTTATGTACCCCGTTTTAAGTATAGCTAAAATAACTAATGTGATTTCAGGCATTACTATAAATCAGTTGGCAAATGTTTTCCGTGAACTGCAAAATCGTATTACCCTTTGTATTGCTAATGATGGAGGACATGTGGAAACTTAAATAAAATTTCAATAAAACCTTAAAAAATATAGATTTACTTCTTTCTAATCCTTTTTACAAATTATTTCTATCGCAAATACAAATAAAGTTACAAGTTTTTTAAAGTGAACTTTATGGACACCCTGTATATATATATATATATATATATATATATAAACAGACACACACAAGCCCCCCCCCCTATATATATATATATATATATATATATATATATATATATATATATATATATGTCTGTTTATCTATCTGAATGTCCCTAGATTGCCATATAAGTATGCATGTGTGTGGTAATAAGCCTTAACATTAACAAAAAATCAAACTGGAGGTGGGGAATATTGTTACCCTGACAGCTATTAGAAGCAACTTGAGCCATTTTCGCATAAATGCCCTTGTGAAAGCCATGAATCCATCTGTTCTGCCGTCAGATGGAGGTTAAATTGCAGCAGGAATTAGGATCTCTAGATTTGGGTGGCAACCTGACTAAAAGAAGGAAATCTCCGAATACCATACAATGTAAAAGACGACAGGATATCACTTAACTATTTCCCAAGAAAACGTAGCAATTAACAGATAATAAAGATCCATCCTGAAGTGACATGGCATTAAAAAACTGACCTAGTGGCACGAATCTCTGAAACTGGCTGTTGATTGGAGTTCCTCATATCACTGAGGAGATACGGTTGAGTAATGGATAGCACCTCAGATTGAGGAATTGGAGAGCCGAGTTCGAATTCTGGACGGATCCATTACATTCACTTACGTGCTAATACCCTTGGGAAAGGTATGAATCCTCTTCTTCTCTCCCCCTCCTAGCTATGGGTAAATAGAAAAAAGAAAAACACATTCTATAGCCTTGGGTGGCAACCGGTCTAGAAGAAGGATACTCTGAATTCAAAACCGGCCTGGAGAGGGTTGGGCTCCGTCAGGTTATCGTGCCCAAGAAACACGGTTTCTACTGCGGATGCTGTGCACATGGTGCCTCTACGACCTTGATGGCTCACAGGATTCGCGCATGCGCTTCATATCACTACAAAGGATGAAGCAGAGTTTTTAAATTTCTTTTTCCTTGGAAATTGCAAAAAACAAAAGAAAAAGAAAAACAGCTTCGCATTTACTCACAGAGAAAACGGGGAGAGGAAGAGAAATAAATAGAATTTGGGCGCCAGGTGTGAGAAAAAATGTACACTTTTTCGAATAGCTGTCGATAGAGATTAACTCTGAGTAGGTCAGTTTTAGCAAAAGGCACAAATGCAGGGTGCACAGTAAGGATGGAACTCAACGCTCAGTATAAATGATCTGAGAGGCTAGCTTGTTAAGTATTACACTGCGACGAAGTCTCCAAGAATGGTTATTGTAGAATATTCTACAGAATAGTCTAACTCCACTCTGAAGAGTAGTTACCTATCGTTGAGACCACGAAACTTCGAAGTCTGCATGACGGAAATACAGCCCAGTTAAGGAAAAAAAACTTTTTCATATTAATTCTCTCTCTCTCTCCCCCCCCCTCTCTCTCTCTCTCTATATATATATATCTATATATATATATATATATATATATATTCTATATATCTAGAAAGAAAATTCGGATTGCCAACACACAAACAGAATGTCTCATATCGAGAATATTCCACATTGAACATGAAGAAAATTAATTATTTTTAATAATATGTAAAAATCTCCACTTTCACCTGAAGACAGTTTGCGAGACCAGACCAGAAACACGTGTCGTGAAATTATGTAAAACAAAGTATAATATTTTTTTCTCAATAAATCCACATTACAACCAAAAAACGTTTGCGGCACCCTCTTCTTTTTTAATATACATACTTTTCTCTCGTTGGAACCACTACAACATATTTCTTTTTATATATATATATATATATATATATATATATATATATATATATATAAAGTAAATAAAATTCAATAATCCATATGATGTATAGCCATTTCGCGCAGAACGGGCTTATCAACATCAAGGAGTTCGAAATGGTCATATATCCTATGGGGTATTGAATTTTATCTACTTGTAATTTATATAGGATCTATAATAAATATATTGAGCTCTCTTCTGTGGATGATTCACTTGGATTACTTACACGGATTTTTTACCTATATATATATATATATATATATATATATATATATATATATAGATAGATAGATAGATAGAGACGTTGTAAATAGATTAATATATCACTGAACTAACTTACGTTGATGGAATTTTAGACATACGCCTCTCTCTCTCTTTACGTCTCTCCTCCCTCCCTCCCTCGCTTTCTCTCTCTGTCTCTCTCAATCTATCTATATATATATGTGTGTGTGTGTGTGTGTGTATGTGTGTGTGTGTACGTAAGTATATATACGTATAAAGATATGTCTGTACATCATTAACTCTGCTTCCTACTGATTAAAATAAAACGTATTTATTTTACACAATAAGTATTTTTACACATATAATAAATTATTCTGACGGAGCCATATACAGTGAGCGTACACACACACACACACACACACACAGTTTTTACAAAAATTAATTTAATGAAGGCGGTAACACACACACGCACACACACAGAAACACAGACACACACATTGGATCGTCTTTTGCATAAGACCCAGTGAAGTCCCTATTTCTCCGTATTGTTTTCGTGCACGAATATATAACTATAACGCGTCCGTAGATGTAATTGAAGCGAAAGAGAGAGAGAGAGAGAGAGAGAGAGAGAGAGAGAGAGAGAGAGGCGTTTTAAACTTATTTGTCGGGAAAGAAAGAAAAGGAAAAAGAGGCTTGAAAAACTGATGTCAGATTTGCATCGTGCTACACTGAGAAAAGAAAATGTAACATCGCACTGTCGCTGGAGAATTCTTTGTTTGAACGTTGTCGTAAAATTTGGCACCGTCTTTAATTTGTCTGTCCGAATTACCGCTTTTATTAAATTAATTTTTGTAAAATCTCTTAAATCAGAACTGACAATAACTTAACAGATGACGTGATAATGATTTTCCGTTATTGTTTTTATAAATTTACTTCAAGAATGAAAAAAAAAAAAAGATTGTTATTTTTTTCTTTGTTCGGAGGGACCTTTTCTAATTCTTTCGGTATAATTTTTTCATGTAAACGCTTTTACTGTGACTTAAGAAAATATCCGTTATTCAGAAGCCTAGAAAAATTTAAAAAAAGAGAAAAATAATTTTGAATAAAAATATATATTGTTGATATTATAACAGAAACATTCTTTATAAATACAATTTCAATTTCTTATAAACTTCATTATGACTTTTCAAGTAGCACAATCCACGTGTATTTATTAAATATTATCTTTGCATTTGGGGTTTCGCTGTTTAAAATAATAATAATAATAATAATGTAATCACCTCCCCCACCTCCACACACACGCTCAATCGAAGCCAGAAAGCAAGATCTCGCTGTCGGGATGAAGTAATCAATTTGTTATTAGAAATCTTTTGCTAGCAGATCACATACAGCATGGAAAAAGCTGGCGAAACTATCTGGATGAGAAGAAATATGAGGCATGTAGGTAACAGTCGTGCCCATAATTATTGGCGCACTTGGAACAGCCTCGCAAAAACTATTGGAAAAAAATGAAAATCTGAGAAAGCAACTGAAACCGTTCAGACGACAGCATTACTAAAGTCTTGAATACTGAAGTGGGTATTGAGGAGACTTGTTGTCACTTGGCCTCCAATGAAAGACACCAGTTATCTGATGTGAAAACCAAATGTATGTACGGTTGTAATAATTATTAAATCGCTATTATAAGAAGAGGAAAAAGAAGAGGAAAAAAAAAGAAAAAAAGAAGAAGAAAAAGAACACTTCAGCCACTTTCAAAAGAAATAGTTAATTATAGTTTAAACTTAGCTTCAGACACTAAGCAAATCATTTGCATCACATGCACCCGACGGTCAGTTTTATATATTAAAGATCTAATTATTTTCGTAATATTAATAAATATCATTGACTTCAGTTCAGTTTTGGACATAGGTTTCAAAAAAGTCTTTATCATTTGCGTTCAACCTATTTATGTGCTTGTAAAATCCGCGATAGCCTATCAATATAATTATTTACTTCTGTTGGTACTGGTGGGTATAGCTCTGTGGTCGAGCAAGGGACTGAGAAAAATGAGGTGCTAAGAGTTTCTGGTATATTACTTTACCAAAGATGCGGTAATATATGGCCCCTTATTAACAGCGGTTAGTCAATGATCACCCCTAAAAACTGCAATAACCTTGAGTAACAAAGATATATTGACGGTTTTTCGGCAATTGTTGAAAAAGGCGAACGAGAAGGAAGAAGACGAACAAGGGATGAGGCAAGAAGTAAGAGAATATGAAGGGATGAAGATGAAGAGGGAGAGGGAGAAGAAGGAGAGGGAGAAGAAAAGGAGTGGGAACAAGAAGGAGGAGGAGAAGAGAAAGACAAAGGAGGGAGAAAACTTGGGGTTGAGTGTTATCATTGATGATACTGCATTAAGACAGGTAAATGGCGTAACTTATAAAAGTTGAACAATTCACTTTAATCAGGGTGAATCTCTTTAGCTACGGGATAATTAGAAAGGACACACATAGAGAAACACAAAGGATACACAAAGGTGGGAAAATGTGTCGATAGAGGGGGGGGAAAAATGAAATTAAGCCACCAAGAAAATAAAAAAAAGCGACCAACGCCGACTGTCAAATGCACACATTAGAATTATATGTTTTAAGGCAAATAAGATATTAGTAGTAGCACTAATCTAAAGTAGCTATTAAGGGGACTCAGACAAATGTAATTATTTGTCAGAGGGACAAGCTAAATATTCACGCCACAAATCGGTGAAAATGTTCCGCTTCTTGAGGGTAGGGGAAGTTCAGTCAATTTGTCATGACATTGCAGCCGCCAACCCCTATTCCCAAAGTCTACTAGACACCGGTATACAATATGCACATATACTGGCACACACACATACATACACACACATTCAATGGCACACACACAATGACACACACACACACAATGACACATGTGTGCGCTTGTAGTGCAAGTAGATATTGTTTTAAACAAGAGCTCGTACATATAAGTATACATACACACGTGTGTGATAAGTACATATGCTCTGAGGCAAGCACTCCTAGACACACACATACTCACGCGCGCACATGGAAATACACATGCAAAGGTACACATGTGCGTGTGTGTAATAAATATATACCCTCTCAAAGAACTCCTATATCTATAAGTATTATATACATACAAAATATACATATGTTCTCAAGCAATGTCCACACCTATCTATCTATCTATCTATCTATCTATCTAGATTATTCATGTCTATCAATCTGAACACACACACACAATTAAAACTATACAGACAAATGATATATATATCTACACACATACACACACACACACACACACACACATACACATATATATATATATATATATATATATATATATATATATATATATATATATATATATATATCCATACATATATACATATATACATATACCTGCCTGAAATAGTATTTTTTTATTGCACAAAATTTCATAACTGAATCAATAAAGCTGTCAGATATTCATAAGTCAAAACAGACAGGAGAGTCCGTTATACCGTTTTATATATATATATATATATATATATATATATATATATATATATATATATATATATATATATATGGAATCTACAAGCTACATATGAGAAGGTTGTAAATGCACACAACGGCTACAGGTATGTCATTGCCTGTGTATATCTTTGTATATATAAAGCAACTGAATTTTAAACAAACACGACAAACCGAAATAGATTTTTATATAGATGATTATTTCATTGAATATAGTATTTGTGTGTATAGCATAGGCCTGTGTGTGGACGTGTGTGTTGAGTATTTGTGTGTGTGTGTGTGTGGACGTGTATGTTGGGTATTTGTGTGTTTGTGCGCTAATCTGTGTCGTGTGATGAATTATTAACATATTCTTTTTCTTACCGGTTTATCACTAATAATAAATAAAAAAAAAACAAAGAATACATTTTCTGTTTCAAATATTCTTCTTACATAAAGAAACAATCTTAAGTAATAAGTCAAATATGTAAAGAGATGCAATTCAAATGCAATACAACATTAAAGAAAAAGATCATTTCAACACAAAATTATTAATAAAGGAAAAAATAAATTCGTATTTGCAAAATAATTTCAACGAAACAGCTAGATAGAAAAGAAAACAATAAAAGTTAAAAAAAAAACAAAAAAAAACTTGCTCAGCCGGCGAACAAAAAAAAAATTAGATTCTTGAATATAAACGAAGGATAAAACGTAAAAACTAAACGAAAGATTTGGCATTTCTTTTCTTTCTTTTTTTTTCATTTCAGTTGAAAACAAAACTGATATCAAAATATATCCATTTTTTTTTTTCAAAAAGGAACATTGCAGACTATGACAAAAATAGTGAAAAGAAAGAAAATCTTCTCTTGCAGTTAGAATCAACGTTAAGACGTACCTCTGGTTTTTAAGGTGACAGTCAACTACTGACCGGGTCCAGTGAATTTAGCTTTTGATTTTAAGGGCTTAACTATAGAAGGTAGATCACAAGAAATAAACGTGTGCCAAAAAAAAGGAAAAGGTAGATATATATTATATATATATATTTTTCTTTGTTTTGATTTTGGTACTAACCTTTGCGTGAGATTTAGTGCGTTTAGCACAGTGATGTCAGAGACTGGTGTCTGAATAAGATGAAGTGGCGTGTAAAGCCTGCTAACACCGGAACAAACACACCGGGGGCGGGCCAAGCGGGGGGTTGGGGGGGTTTGGGTGGAGCGAGACTCCGTTGAGAAGGGAGGGAGCAGACACAGACCGGTTGAGAAAGGGAAGGAGACCACAGCACAGGCCGGGCTAAAGATATAAAGAAAGAACAAAGATGGTCTAGAGATGGAAGAAAAAAAAAAAATGATTGAGAAAGTAAAAGGAAAATGACTCCAAAAGGGGAAAAAAAAGGAGAGTAAAGTGTAAGGAATATAATATATATATATATATATATATATATATATATATATATATAGAGAGAGAGAGAGAGAGAGAGAGAGGAAGAGAGAAGGAGAGAGAGAGAAGGGAGAGGGGGAGAGAGAAAGAGGGGGAGAAACAATGTGAGAGAAAGGGAGGAGGATTTTAGTTTTAGTAATAAGATAGAAAACGGTAGATGATTTTTTTAGAACTTGCATTTAATGGAGAATAAAAAGTAAGGGAAAGAAAGAGAAGACGATAAAAAAGGAAGATTTTAGGAAGGGAAAATCGGCAAAAAAAAAAAAAGAAAGGAAAGAAATTGTGAAGAAGAGAGAGTGAGAAAAAGAGAGAAAGAGATAAAGAGATAAGGAATAGTTTAGAGAACTTAGCTTTTTGATTTAGGGTCAGACATAGAAAAGCTGGAGAGAAAAGAAGAATAAAGAGACAAAAGAAATAAAGGGTTTTAAAATCATATATATATATATATATATATATATATATATATATATAGAGAGAGAGAGAGAGAGAGAGGGGAGAGGGCGGTTAGGCAGCAATACTTCGTTCAGGCATGTTTTATTGAATAGGATGGACATATAGTGAAGGAATCAGAAAAGCAAAAATAAGAGCCACGAAAGAAAATAAAAGAAAATCTTTAAAAAGAAGATGAGAAGAAAAATACTAAATGCAGACGACTTAGGCGGGAGACATCTTTGAAAGGAGTGACACAAAGAATATTGAAAGAAAGAGAGTTTGAAAGGTGAAATAGTCGTTTGTTGCGAAGCCTTTAAAATATACGAAGATTTTAAAAAAAAAGAAAAAGAAAGAAAGAAAGAAAGAAGCAAAATTTAAGAAACAAAATTTAAAGAAGAAATTTCAAGAAAAACTGAAAGTTTTTATACCTTTATATATTAGGGACTAATATGAAAAAGCTAATCGTTTACAGGGAAAGACCTAAAATTAAAAAAATAAAAAAAAAAAAAAACTGCAAAGGAAGACGAAGCAAAAAAAAAAAAAGAAGAAAAAATACATTAACAGAGAGGTTATAACAATGAAAAAGAATGACTCCAAAATTCCCAGATTTCTGGTTGAGGCAGTTGCGAATTTTCCACAGGTGTCAGAAATCAGTTTGAGGTCAAATATCATCATTTCGAATGCTGAATTTCAACTTGAAATATTGATCCAGGTCGAACTTCTTATACTACATTTCCCCAAATTTGGCCTTGTGCCTTACTAGGCTACATTTAAATATCAAGAGTCTGAAAACGGCGGCGACTGGTGGTGGTGGCGAAGAAAAATAAATTCAAATATCAAAAGAAAAGAGAAAGAGAGAAAAAAAAAATGGTGGTTCGTCGTAGTGAGTTTTATTTTCACGGGCGCCCCGCTAAATTTAATAAATAATAAGAGAAAATGAGGAACAAGAAAGAAAGAAGGAGAATGTAAATAAGTTTGAAAAAGAAAAAAAAGGCGGGAAAAGAAATGAAATTGGCAAGCGAAAAAGTAAAAAAAAAAAAGATCATTTCTAAATATGAATAAACAAGACGAAGGCGGATATTAACAGAACGTCGGAAGTGAATAAATTTTGATTTCATTTCAAGTATTTTAATTAAATAAAAATAATCTACAATAAAATAATGAGTCGAAAAGTGTTTTTGACTCATTAAAGTCTGGGAAGAGAGATTTAATGAAAAAGAAAAGAAAAGAAATAAAAAAGACGAAAAAGAAAGAAAGACGATAGCGAAAAAGAAAGAAAAGAAAGAAAGAAAGAAAGAAAGAAAGAAAGAAAGAAAGAAAGAAAGAAATAAGAAAGAAAGAAAAAATAAAGAAAGAAAGAAAGGAAGAAAGAAAGAAAGAAAGAAAAGGTGTTAAAGATAAAGAAACAAAAACAAATTTAAAGAAAAATGAAGATAGGTGTTAAGCAAAAGAACGAAAGAAAGAAACAAACAAACAAACAAAGGAGCAAAGAAAGAAAAAAGAAAGAGAAAAGGACAGTAAAATGACTGAGGGAAAACGTGAAAGTCTACGTTCAGATTATTGAAAAATATTTCGGAATATATAAATAGGAATTCAAAGAGAAGAAGAAGAAGAAGAAGAAGAAGAAGAAGAAGAAGAAGAAAACAGATTTATATAAAAGAAAGAAAGAAAGAAAGAAAGAAAGAAAGAAAGAAAGAAAGAAAGAAAAGGAGTTAAAGATTATGAAACAAAATTAAAATTAAAGAAAAATGACGATAGGTGTTAAGCAAAAAAAATAAACGAGAGAAACAAAGAAAGAGAAAAAGACAGTAAAATTACTGAAGAAAAAGAGAAAGTCTGCGTTGAGATTATTGAAAAATATGTCGAAATACATAAATAGGAATTCAAAGAGAAAAAGAAGAAGAAGAAGAAGAAGAAGAGAAAAAGAAAGAAAAAGAAAACAGAATTCTATAAAAGAAAGAAAGGAGCAGAAGAAACAAGACAATCTCAGGGTGTCCCAAAATGATTTATTTAATCAAACCCAAAACGATCTCGCATTTGTTTTGGCGAATTTATTTTGGGTTGATTTCCATGTGACTACAAGAGAAGAATTAAGTTCCAATAGCCAACAAAGAAATTACGAGGATGGAAAAGAAGAGAGAACTGATGGACTTCAAATAAAGGAAGGAGGAGTGGAAGAAGGAGGTGGAGAGTTTATTGAAAAGAGAAGGGGAGGGAATTAACTGAATGAGAGGAGTCATTGAAGTTCTAAAAGAAAGAAAAACGCGAGGGGCTGTAAAAAAAATGGCGCGGGGGGGTGCGGAATAAATAGAGGACGTGAAATGGAAGGGAGCGACTGAATGAGACGTGAACGCAAGGCGGGTAACAGGAATTTAAAAAAAAATAGAGAATGCAGAAGGCCAAAGTATGCTAATGTGGCTGAGTCAGAGTGAAGGGCCCCGACACAATGAACATTATCTATCTAGCTACTTATCATAGTCTTTTAATATTATCTATCATGAACGTTGTTAGTCTATCAGTAGTCTTTCCATCATAATCTTTCAATCTCTATATATATATATGTCTCGCCATCATCATCTTTCTATAGAGTTTTAATTATTTTACATCATCATCATCATCATCATCATTCTATATATGTATCTTTCTTTCAAAATCTATCTATTATTATCGTCTATTTCTATCTATCTATCTATCTATCTATCTATCTATCTATCTATCATCCCCTTTCTATACAGTTATTTTTCTTTTACAATATATCATCATTTTTCTATATATTTATCATTTATAATCTCTTTCTCTCTCTCTCTCTATATATATATATATACACATCTCTCTCTCTCTCTCTATATATATATATATATATATATACACATCTCTCTCTCTCTCTCTCTATATATATATATATATATATATACACATCTCTCTCTCTCTCTCTCTATATATATATATATATATATATACACATCTCTCTCTCTCTCTATATATATATATATATATATATATATACGTACAAAATACTACGTACACAGAAATACTATTATATATATTATATATATATATATATATATATATATATATAATAGTATTTCTGTGTACTTATCCATCATCGCATATCTGTTTATCTGTCTATCTATGATAGTATTCCTAACTATATATCTATCATATGTATGTATAAATCATTGTATTTCAATCTATCTATCTATTATCTATCTATCTATCTATCTATCTATCTATCTATCTATCTATCTATCTGTCTGTTTGTCTATCTATCTAATTTTATTTATCTCTCTCTCTCTCTCTATATATATATATATATATATAAATATATATATATATATGTATATACTGTTTCTATATACACGTTATCTCAATCAGTTTTTCATGTTAAGCGTTTACCATAAAACAACTATTACAAAATTTGACAATTGTTAATCCTGAAGTCTTTATTCATTTAAAGCTACATTCTTGTGATCTTGTGCCAGACTCAATTTTTGTTCATCTCTACATCTGCTTGTACAGATTTTTTTCCGTAATCTGCTTGACCATCTTTTATGTGAAATAAATAGACACACACGCACGCACGCACACACACACACAGAAAGCGCACGAACCCCTGCCCTTTAAACGTGTGTGTGTGTGTGTGTGTGCGTGCGTGTGTCCCCCCTGTGCGAACGATTATATCTATGTACATTAGTTCCTCATAGAGCTGGGCACGTCTTTGACGCCTGATGAGTCAGTGGGCACGTGCAAACTTCATTTTCAAGTGAATGTAACTGTCTCTTTCCGTATCGGCATTCACATTTGCATACGCGCAAGTAATGACTAAGTGTGTACGCTCGAGTGAGAACGCTAAATCTATATATGTTGAAATTCGTCTGCAAGCCGATGCGCTTATATGAGAAGCTGTGTTCCGAGCCGGCATCTTGCGCCACGTCCGACGAATAGACAGCGTGACATTAAAGATGAAGACAAATTGAAAGGCGACGTTTAACAGGGAACACAAATAGAAAGTAGTGGAGGGCTGGAAAAGAAAAAAAGACAACTTATTTATTTATTACCTGGGTTTACATTAATTTAAATTTAAAGAAGATTTGACGCAATTTTTGAAGCGGTTTAAAGAAAAAGAAAAAGAAAAGGCGTATTATAGCGAAGGTTCACAAATTCGTTTCAAACCCTAATTTTTAGCGTTGTGAGTTCGTGCCTACGATGTGTAGCAAGTAAGCTTGTTTGATTAACAATTCTAAGAAACGAAATAGATGCGAATGGATGTCAGAAGTAAAGGAAAATTCTGAAATTCCTCCACAGACGCCGGTTTTTTTTATTTGTGAAAAGGAGGAAATAACACATTGAACCTGTAAGTGCAGCGGGAGTGGCATTTGTCTAATGCAATGAATAGATTTTTCGTGAATTACGGCTAGCCTGAAATAATACCCCAATTTTGTTTAACCTTTTTAAAATGAAAATTCTTTCGGCTTGGGTTGGATGGTCGAGGTAGTTACGTTTGGGTTAGAGGACGAATAACAAGCCGAAAGTTTGTATTGATGACTTTCAAGACAATCAAAACGTCTTCATTTGAACAAAGAAATGAGGAATATGGTCTTATTTTCATCAAATTGACACACTTGACCCTGGACACTACGAACCTTAGTTGATTGGAAATAAATAAATAAATAAAGAAAGAAAGAAAGAAAGAAAGAAAGAAAGAAAGAAAGAAAGAAAGAAAAGAAAAAACAAGGGTAAAGAAATCTAAAAAAATAAAATCAAATAAAAAGGATATGATGAAATAGAAAGAAAGAAGAATATAAAGAAATTATGTAAAGAAAGACAGAAAGAAAGAATACAAAGAAATTTTATAAAGAAAGAAAGAAAGAAAGACGAATATAAAGAAATTATGTAAAGAAAGAAAGAAAGAAAAATATACAGAAATTGTATAAAGAAGGAAAGAAAGAATATAATGAAATGATATGAAGAAAGAAAGAAGGAAAGAAAGAAAGAGAGATATATAAAGAAGTATAAATAAATATGTAAAATAAAGACATATCAGATTAAAAAGTAATGGCTGCTTAACCAAACTGTTAAAGTAAAAAACAAACGTTTAACAATATAAAATTCAGTCGATAAGTAAAAGCCGGAGTCGACAAGTGATGGTAAACAAGCGAAAGAAATAATTTAAGCTTAAATGATGGCAGGTAGTAAGCGGGTGTGAGAGGGAATGCAGATCAGTGAAATCATCTCATAATATCGATTCGGGATTGGCGCAAAGAGACGTTTTCTACGTGTACCCCAACAAAATAGGAAGCTTTTAGAAGAGAAATCAAAATAAAATGAATGTGGTGAACAAGACACGAGCCGAAATGCTAAAATTATTATAAATTAATAATTACCACAATACTCGTGTATAGGTCGGCAATGAAATTTATCGTTCTCTCTATCTATCTATCTATCTATCTATCTATCTATATATATATATATATATATATATACACTGAAAAATATATAATATATATAATATTTTATGAAATAGAACAAATGAAGAATGTCCATTGAATATTTTGTTGAATTGCAACCGGTGTTGAGTTGCTTTATCTACGACGGAATCTGCGAAATTGACAGGTTGATAATCGACTACTTTCTATAATCGTTGGCTGTTTTCAAAGAAAGAAGATTGAGATGAAGTTTTAATTTTGCCAAATATTCCTTTCGACGCTTTGCACCTGAGATAAATCGATGAATTAAAAACCAGGAGAGAAACGTTAAAGGCTCATTTAGGTTCACTGAATATATTATATTCAAGATCTATCTATCTATCTATCTATCTATCTATCTATCTATCTATCTATCTAATTCTGTGCATATCTATCTATCTATTTATCTATCTATCCACACACACACACACACACACACACATATATATATATATGCAGGTTTGATTAAAAACTAACGAAAGACTTTGTGGATCATTTTTTTATTTCTTACTTTGAATATATCAAATTTTGTTATATAGTTCTATATTTATATATCGTTTATATATATATATATATATAGATAGATAGATAGATAGATAGATAGATAATATTAGTGGTCAATATACATACATATATATATATATATATATATATATATATAAATTCCCAAGAGAAATCCAAGTAGAACTCAATGTCAGGACAGAGTAATAATATCATAAAAAAGGCTCAAACATTAATATTCCATTGTAATAATTTATTACATTGGAATCGTAATCCAATTCATCAGTGTTTAAATTATGATCCAATTCATCATGGTCACACACACACACACACACACTTTAAATTATGGTTATATATATATCTAAATATTTGGTTTATATTATATATACACATATATATATATATATATATATATATATATATATATATATATATATATATATATATATATATATATATATATATATATATATATATATATATATATATAGATAGATAGATAGATAGATAGATAGATAGATAAAACTAAGTGAAACCAGACAAACCCAGCTTTCCCTGATGATCCGTTTAGGTTAAACCTAGGTAATTAGGTTTGTCTCACACACACACAGGTTTATATATATATATATATATATATATATAGGTTTCCTTTTTTAGATAGATAGATATAGGTTAAACCTAGTGAACCAGACAAACCCTCTCTTTTTTGTTAGCTCACTGTTTATCTCGTGTCGAGCTCCTTTTTTTTTTTCTCTTCGTGCTTCAAACCTGTATCTGCGATTTTTTTTTTCGACAGACTTCCATGTTTCTAGCTCTTTCTTTTTTTAAAACCTTTTTTTCCTTCGAGATTGATTTGATTATTGGCAAATCAAAAATTCGAAGGTTTTTCGAAACGAGTATAGTTACCTATATTTATATATATTTATATATATATATATATGTTTCAATATATTTACATATATATAAGGTTCAAATCCTGCCGCAGGACGCATATTTTTCCATCAAGATTTCTCGAATACTCAGTCCGGTAGATGTAGTAAATAAATAACTATATTGTTTAGTTAATAAATAATACGGGTATCCATCTAAAATGAGCTTTATACAAATAAATTACAAATCTGACGGATTGAATTTAATTCCTAAAAATTTTCCTTTTTTACGTTCGGATCGGCAGAATTGTATATTTCGAGAATCGGGAAAGTGTGTATTGAAATGTGTTATTCAGGCTTTACCTTATTCGGATGTCTTACGTGGCCGCGTCGTCTAAGGCCGTC